AGTAAAGCTTGTGATAAATGGTGAATTGGATTTTTGGGTGGTCTGCAGGATGAAATCCAGCCAAAGTCCTTAGACGAGATAAGTACTTTTTGCAAGGCTTAAGTGGATGATGTCTGCAGAAAACCCAGAAAGGGAATCCAAATTCATTTTTAGTACCACTTGAGAACTAGTTTCCCACGGAGATTTGGAGATTAGGTGGAAACACATGGTGGTCAAAGCGATTTGCATATTAAAATTTGTGGGTGGTGCCTAAAAATTGTTTAGCTCTGCCCCACTCTATATAAGCTGCCTGCATGCTTGAGTTAAACAGAACGCGGAAAATGCAGACAGAGAATGTGGAGAACGCAGACAGAGAGTGGAGAGAAGCGGCGGAAAACGGCTTGGTGGATTTTGCTGGTCTGGTCTGTTGGTTGTCCTGCATCAAGAAGACCGATCCAAACCAAGAGATAGAAATAGAACCCATACGAATCCAGATAACTTTGTCAACAAAGCTGTGAGAAAGCAGACTGCTATATTGTAGGGTGCAGATGAAGATCCACAAATTACCTCCCTTAGATCAGCTGAATTCCTATCAGAATCGTCTTTCTCTCTCTGTGACTTTCCGACCCAAACGAGTGAATCTCATTAAGACACTTTGTATTCATGCAATTTCGTTGGTAGTGACATAAAAGCAGTAGCCTTAAAAGGCTCTTTGTACAGGAACCGAAAGTGTTGCTCATTTTTTTATGTTCTTGCAGTTACGACAAGAACTTTTTCTGCACGAATAGCGATTCCTTTCAGCGTAGAGCCCAGCCATTTCATCCTTTACCATCGGACCATTCTGGAGGATCGGAACACTGCTGTTCAGATCAAAAACTCACAACATGGTGAATAGTGGTGGTTCCTTCAGCTCACCAGAGGAGGACTGGGTGGTTTTCTTTTAGCGGCCAGAACCACCGGGGAGACAGGACATAGCTGCCAGCGGCAGGGCTTTTACGTTAGACTTGTGTAGAGTCTAAAAGAATTTAAAATGGTGCTGGAAAACTGAGGTTTAGCCCTTTTCCAAAGCAGTAGTAGGCAATTTTCAGCTTAAAATACCAGAAACAACAGTTGACAAGTGTTTATTTATAGCAGCTGTCTCAGATGACAAAAGGTGCCGATAGTAGCAAGGGAGATGATTCTACAGTGACATTGTTGCCTGCAGTGTGGTAAAGGTTAAAGTAAATTTAGTAAATATTTATTTGCTTACCTGTGTATGCACACTAGCGTGCACATATACAGTTACTAATATCTAGTTATTTGATTTATATATATATATATATATATATAAAGTTGTAATACAATAAAGTAATTTCGAAAAACAAGTTCAGCTGAAAATCAAGGGTAAAAGAAGACTGTTGGTTGAAAGCAATCAGCCAAATCACTAAAAAGCAACCTAACTATGCACAAAATTTGTCTAGCTGGAAGGGACAAGCCTAAAAGATGAAAAATAGAATGGCACATGCCCTCTAATGACCTTCAGTCAAGGAAAATAACTGCAATTTATATGATAACAACCAAGATGTGGTCCTATGCTATTGTGTTTTTGTTTTACAGACAGTATCTGCATCCCATCTCTAGTCATCTTTGTACAGCTTCAGATAGCTGAGTTTTGAACTCAGTTTTCATTCTCCTCAACTGGCTGCCAAAGAGATCCTAGTCTGCACCATTATTTAACCCTTAGATGTGGAGAGAAAAGATAGATTCATATCTCTCCAAAATGTATTTGTCTGAAACTGTAACAAACTTGACTGGTATTCTAACTCAACTTGCTGATTTCTCATTCCAGGCCATTAATCATTACATGCATCCAAATATTTCATACATAACTCAAAATTGCTTAACAAGGAAAACACCTTCATTTTCTATCAATGTTTTTTCTTTGAGGGATGCCATTTCATACATTAAATTCCCTGAACCTTTGGATAGCATCTCATATCTGTATGTATTAATTACATGAATATGTGTTATATTTGCATTTTAATGTTACAGAAATTAATAAATAAATTGATCTTTCTAACCAAATTGTAAGCGATAAAAATAATTCTGCTTAATGTTTAACCAAATTTTATATAGAATATTAATCATTCCTAATTTAGTTGTCTGCTATATTTAATATTGTATTGAACTGTCTTTGGTGTCTCTCACAGATTTTAGTCAGCTTAGGAAAATATCTGACCAATATAGAACAATCTCTTGTTATTGATTAATGGCTTAAATCTTGTTTTATGAGACATGTTTGGTTGACAGTTAGATCAGCACTCATAATTATTTTCCAAGCTCCTCTGGTGTAATCCTTTCTATTTTGTACCTAAAAATGGAATTTTTAGTCAATTCATCTTTACATGAAAAACTTTTATAACTTGAACGAGGAGAATGTTAATGAATTGATTTTGTGACCTTATATTGCAAACTATAAAACACCATTTGTTTGTTTTTTTTTAACTCATGTGTTCTTTTTGGCTTTTTCACTTCTGACTGTTGAGAAAATGTCCATTTGAACTTGAAGAGGTCTACTTGCTATGCCTGCCTTTAAGATAATCAATTCAACCCAAGCAAGGCCACTAAGACACAAGGGGCTACTGGGAGTAAAAGAGAATGAAAAAAAACTTTGGCAGGAACCAGAAACCCATTCCTGAACAGAAAATAAGGGATAAACCTCTATTCTTGTTCAAAAGACTGGGGTGGGGTAACTGGATGACAGGCAAGCCTATTTACTACCTGAGTTGATACCTAGTATTTTATAGATATTTCTGTAGTGTAATTAGGAATCTGCTTATGGAGTGAACTCCTTGAATTATTTCTCTGTACAGGAGGCCTCTGAGTTTCTGACCAAGCCAGCACAAGTACCTTTGCTTTAACAGGGTGTACATGTAAGGAATTCCAATGCTCTTGAGGATGGTGTCCTTGGGGACATTGTCTTGCAAAGAGATGTTTAGAATGTATTAGAGGTAATATACCTGGAATGCATTGAGATTTCATTCCTGTCTCGCACACAGTGTTCAAGTTTCACTTTCATACAAGAGGGTGCTTATGGTGCAAGCTTGATAGTTTAGGAATTTGGTGTGTTTTGATAACTTGCTACTGTTCCATACTTAATCTCATCCTCTTACCAGAATGAGATAATTCCTTTGATTAAGAATCTAGTCTAGCAGCCACATATGATTGAAATTATCTCAAGCTTTTCTCATATGTGTAAGATCATTAATCAGAATTCTAATATAAGTGTTAGACAATAATTAGATCATTGAAGTGAAAATAATATTTATTTATGTAATACTATTTTTTAAATTTCTCAAATGAAGCATTGTCAATCATGACACCTTTTTTTCACCAGTATTTGTTTCATCCTAATTTTGGGTGCTTTTCTATCACAACTCTCAGTTATATAAAATAACAAGTGAATCCTATCTTGATTCAAGCATCCAACCTCAAGGTAGGCAAGTAACATGGTCACTAGATCAGTATTCTGCTTGAAAAGCATGGTAAAATTTACTTGTAAACACTCAGTTAGACACAGATACTTTACTGATCTGAGGCAGAGGGTTGAAAGTGACTTTGATCCTAGGCTGAGGAGCAAGGTTTTGATCTTATGCAGGATGTATACACTGGTCTCAGACAGAATTGTCAACCCATACATAAATATTCCTGCCAATTTGGGCAAGTACTATATATATTTATATCCTTAAAAACTCACACATGTAAACCTTCTAATAATTGTAAGGACTTAAAATATGGTACCATTTTTTATGGCGTGGCTGAACTAAATTATGATTTTGGATTTAATAATATTGAGAAGATAAGCCACATTATGCTTCATAGAAACTAATATTTCTAACACTATTATTTGCATCTTTTTTTGTCTTAGCTAAGAAATTATCAAGGAATACTACTTGTAGAATCAAGTATTCTCATTTTTACTATTGGCTAAAATTTGGTGAACAAGCAAGCATCTAGGTTTCTGATTTGTTTTTTGCTATAGGTTGATAATTTAAAAAAATTGTAATTGTTCATTTTTTTTTTATTGATACTAAATTTTTTATCCTTCACTTATAAAAGACATCTTTATATGTTTTCCATTGAAATAGCAAGATAGTAGTGATAGGCTGCTTAATATTTGACATCCTGTCAGTATTTTTTGTCATTTAATCATTATTTGTTGTGTCATGTAATCATTATTTATTGTGGTGTCTAATCATTAGAGTAAATTAAAATTTTGATATATTTGTTTAATAAATGCTATGTAAGATAAAGTTCACATACCATATATACTCACATATCATGTGATTTTAATTCTGAGCTAATTTTAAGGAGGTCACATCTGTTGCAGGCATAGCTTGTTGAATGCTTAGGTGGAAAACACATGTCTCCTGGTATATTTATCCCACAACAGAACTGAACTCAGAATGTGAGTTCAGGTAATAAAATGAAGTAGCAACAAAACTATATATATATATATATATATATATAAAAGGTATACATAGACAATAAAATATTGTTGCATGTTACATTGAACATGAATAAAGACCTCATTTAAATTAGTGGAGATGTTTGTGTAGAAGTAAGACCTAGAGAAAAGTAAATGGAAAGTGAAGAGAAAGGTGCTTGTGTGTGTGTGTGCCTACCCAGGTGTGGGCCACATTTCTCTACATTTGACTTACGTCTTACCATCCCTGGGTGAAATAGGAAAAAGAGAATGATAGAGAATGTTCCTGCCTATTTATAGGCTTAGGGAGTGTCCTCCAGTTACAGTCTTTTTAGGAAAGTAAGTGGGATAATTCCACACATCATACACAAGATATAAAATTAGCATATGTACTGCAGACACTGGCTATGCCTTTGACCAAACTATATATCCATTCACTGTAGTGAAATTATCTTCAAAATTAGGCCTTCAAAGGTTGCATGATATGTGAGTATAAACAGTAATCAGATTGTGACAATAATTTACCTAAGAATGTCTACTCTGAATTATTTTCCAGGAGGAAGAAAGAAGAATATTCCTTTCCGTCGTCAGCGTATGGAGATTGAGTGCCTAATTCCACCTGGAGAACCTGACCTACCTCCTGCTGCTGATCTTCCAGACCCTTATGTAGCTGATCTTCTTGAGACTGCAGACAAAAGAGTTGCTGAAATGGAAACTCTTCTTAAAGAAATGACTGAAAAAAATGAAGTAAATGAAATGAAATTAGAAAATTTCCGTCAACAGGTAGGATCTTTTACTTTGCTCCTAAAATAAAATTTAGAATATCCACCTAGAGTAGGGTTTTTCAAACTGTGGCTCTCAACCCTTCAATGGGTCTGTGATAAATAAAATGGGTTGCAACAAAAAAAAAGAAAAAATATGGAAGTGGCACAACTCTCATAAATCATTGCTAGTTCTTCACCAAGGTAGCTTGTATTATATTTTATTTTTTCTAAATATATATATATATATATATATATAGTCTGTTCTTACTGAGTTTATGTATTTTGTTCGTTAAACTTGTAGACTGAGTGATGTCAGTTTTCTCTCACAAAATACCTTGCGTCAAAACTTAGCTGCAAAGGTGTGCAATGTGTTTGCCTTCGTGCCCGGTGAAAGCCATTAAGATTGTTGAATAATTCAGTTGCATCTTAAGTAAGGGCTAAATATGAATTTCTCAACTCAATGTCAAAGTTGAGTATTGGTAAATTCTTTCTGTGGTAGTAAGATGATGTGTTGGGTTCATTTGAAGTTTCAGAATTTTTAGTGAGTTGGCAAACACATTCCTAGACAATTTAAAAACAGGCTATTTTTTTTCAAAGTAATAATTTTATATTCATACAGATAGATAATACAAATAGATATATGCAATTCCAATATGTGCAGATCATAAGAAATATACATATAAATTGTTGATGCTAAATAAATGAACCTAGTGAACAGAGTTTGCTTTTGATTTCTTATATGTAGGTATAATGAGTTGCAATGCAAATTGTATTTCTCGCTGTGGGTTGCATAAAAAAAAGCTTGAAAAACACTGACCTAGAGCTTAAGTTTGGTCTTACATATCATATGTCGTAAGATTTACTTATTCTAATAAATTCCATCAACAAATAAAATTAAATGTTAGACTTGACTTCCCAACTATGAATTTTGCATATATGGTATCCACTTTTCATGAAGTTTGATAGTAAAATTGAATTTATTTACAGAATTTGTATATATCAAGAAATATATGCTTTCTTTAAATAAATTCAATTTTACTATCAAACCCTTTGATGAGTGAATACTATAGTAATTTACTAAATGTAACTTAGATGTAGCACAAGGCCAAACGTATAGAGCACCCAGTGAGGATTAAACTCACCACTCAGTTGTAATTGATCTAGCGAAATAAGATTGTTAACCATTACACCATGTCAAAGTGCCCAGAATGGATACTATATCTGAAAAACTTTGTGTTGTTAAGTTGATCATTTAATTTTATTTGGTGCTAACTCAATGATCTATCTCTTAATATTGAGGCTTATAACCACATCTCACTGAAACATTGGTTCCTGTATGATCACTAAAGTTAAGCAATGTTGAGCCTGATCAGTACCTAGTACTTGGGAATAGCAGGAGCTGTAAGTTTGGATGTGCCTGTGGTTTAATGGATAATGGCTTGGAATTATTAATCAGAGTGCCAAGCTCCAATTCCAATTTGGTTCATTATATTCACTTGCACGCAAATCCCAGGGTTAATTAGTAAGACTTGTAGGACTAAATCATTATTATCTTCCCACCAAAATTCTTAAAATCAAAAAAGATTTTCTGGCTTTAAATAACCTGTAGTGGGTTGATAAGCCATGGAAAATGAATGAATCAATCAATCTTAATATTGTGTATTTTTATTACAAAGACTGCTTGCATTAAAAGTGTAATCTTTCAGAAATACACTGTTTTTTTTTTTTTTGTGAAATCCAATCTTTGTTATTATTATTAAAATTAATCTTACTTATTATAAAACGCAGATTGTGTGTGTGTGTCTATACGTTTATATATGGGATCGTATTTCCTAAATTTTTCAACCGATTTCAACAAAACTTCACAGGACTATGTAAAATTACCCAGTGGTGGTTCTGACAGTGCCAAAAATTGGAAAAACACAATTGTTTTTGCACAAAATCAATTTGAAAGCACAGTTAAGGGTATCACACCCGGCCGGAAGTTACTTTTTTTTCTTTTCTTCAATCCCCCCTACACCCACATTTTCCTCTCATTTTCACTTTCCATACCCCCCCCCGTGTGATAATGGCACTTCTGACTTGCTTGGGGTGAAATGCTTAAAAAAAAACCCAAACCCAAAACATTGAATATAAAATAATTAGGGTACTGACAAAACCACCTAATAAAATAATTAGGGTACTGAAAATAGCATCTACCACAATCAAAGGTAAAGCTCTCCCTACCAACAGCTAAAATAATAAAAAAGTGCTCAATACAATATATATATATATATATATATATATATATATATATAAAAGGCAGGATGTGTGTGTGTGTAACGAATACATGGCCGCAATTTTCGACAGATTTGCACCAAAATTTACATGCACATGCTCCAAGTTAGCGGGAAGGCCCAGACTGACTTTGCATTTCCCAACTCCCATCGATAGTGGAAATAATCGATTTTTTTCATGCTTCTATGGCAGTTTTCATGTAGTTTGTGGCCATTTTCTACTGGCCAGAGTGAGAGCCTATAGCTGGCTGCGACGAATAGGCAGGAAGATTCTATTGGCCAGCATGAGAGCCAACAGCTGACTGACACGAATGTTAACTAGCATGCTAGCATGCAAAAAAATCGATAGCTGCATTCGTCACAAGTAGGGAAAAATTTAAATCTGCATGGCACTTTACTTTAATTGGCTCATTCGCTTGCTTAAACTCAACGTTGATTCTGATTCCGCAGAACTGGGTTGGGTGTGAAAAAGTATTTGTTGTTAACTATCTTTTTTCATTCGGTTCTTCCAGTTATGAGTCCTTTTTTATAGCTGATCATTTTGTGTTCATTTCATTTAGTTCTTTTTTCGTAACAAATTTAATGTTTAATATAGAACGTAGAAAAAATTTGCGTGAGATAGGCAAGAAGTAAGGCATGTAGCAACATCAGCACGGCAAAGGGCACTCCTTTAAAGGCAAGGAAGGGCAAAAATATTTTAAGTCAAGTGATAGTGATTGTTGTATGAGTCATACGATTTTTGAATCAAGCACGGGCAACGCTGCTAGTTCTCTATAAATTATGATTATTTTATTATTTACATCTCAAAGAGTAAAATAGAAGTATCAATACAAAAAAATATGTACCAATAGGAAAAATGTTTATTTTTACTTCAGATTTTCAGAGATATAATATTCAATTTGTTGTTGTTGAATGCTATTGTTAGCCTTTATTTATGATAGCCTTTAAGTGCTACTGTTAGCACTTACTTAAGACAGCTTTTGTTTAAATACAACTGTTTGGGTACTCATAACATTAGGGCTCATGACAAAGAGATATAACTCATGAACTGGGTCATAAACAGAATAGTACAGTTCTGCTCTGGATATATTCATCTGAGGAAGGCTGGAGAATGAACTGGGCAGAAATATAAAAAAAAAAAAAAATCTCTATCAAATATGAATTTAATATTTGGACAGACAAGGTCTGAAAATTGAATTATATAAATCTCATATACTTTCTGTTTTTCATTAGTTCTTATCAAATGTACATAATTTTAAAATACTTTCAATTTATAAATAAACTTATAATAAATTTATACACTTTTGGGGAATTAATAGGCAATGCTTACAAAAAATGAGGTGTCAAAAGGACATTTATTCCCTTGAAACCACTATTACTGTATACAGTTTTGACTCCCTTGGTAATTTTTTGTGGTCTCGAAGTTTAAGCATTGCCTTAATAAAAAGCCCTTATTTTCTTGTAAAAAGATATGGTAATCATGCAATATGACAATCTCTGGTTTGCTTTCAAGCAAAACACTTTTTTTCATTTGGTGTTCATCAACTTCTATTGCTTTTGTAATCTTTAATTTTTTACTATATGTCTATATTTGACTGTACATATCCTATTATTATAGTTATGAAATTGTATAAAACCAACATGTTTTATTATTTTGTTTTCATTATAATTTATACTAATCAAAGAAAGCACCATGTACAACAGAATATGGTGTTTGTCCTACAAAAGCTCATATGAGAGTGACAATACCAAGGTTGTCAAACATTTTTAATATCTTATTGAAAAATTTAAATGTTAGTATTAATCAATGTTATTTTTGATGGAATTAGTTTTGTTCAAACAAATTCATTAACAGTAATAGGAATTTAACTGAGTAATTTTAACATTACTATAGTCATTTTTGCTCTCACAAAATAAAGGCTAGTCACAATAATTATTTACTGTAATATAAAAATAAAACAATAACAAAATAAATAAAACTATATTAATTTAAAATATTAATTAATATTTCTTATTGCCTCTTTAGATCTTTACAACAACTAGTTATTTATTACTACTTGTGTTTTCATGAATGAATTGTACTATTGTGTGATAAATCAGTGGGAAATGAGAATCATAGGAAAAGATGTGCATAAAAACTGATTTCAAATTTGATAGTAATGAACCCTCCAATTAATTTTCATTGAATAACTAAAAAAAAAAATGAGTGCTCAGTTTCTGTGTTGCCTTTATTGTGTTTAAAACTACTAGAATTTTCTTGCAACATGTATCACTGTGTTGAAATTATCACAATATTTAGTATTGTTGAAGTTATCGCTAATTTTTTTTTGTTAAACTTTACGTTTCGTTCAATTTCGCAAACTGATCAATGAAATTTGAATAAGCTGATTTTTTTTTTTTTTGAAAAATACTTTGACAGAAGCCCTACTATGTGGTTTAATAATTTCTTTAAATTTATAGGATTTTATGCTAAACAACATTTTTTTAAGAAAATTTATTTTTTTCCTATTTTCTTTTTTAACAGCAGAGAATAAATTCTTAGAATTTCTTACTCTTGACCGTGCAACATACAGCTGATCCTAATTTCTTTCTGGAGCAAAAGTTCCAACTTTTTGAAGTGTTTAGCCTTGTGATATGTTTATAGTTCACACAAATGCAGAGTAAACTGGAAACTGGATTCTTGTATATATATAAAAACTTAAAGAAAATATATACAAAAAACAATATTGCACTTTTATTAAAT